TTCATTCATTCATTCATTCATTCATTCATTCATTCATTCATTCATTCAAATATATTAGTGCTCTATTTACATGTACACTTGGATGCCAGAAGAGGGCATCAGGTCCCAGTATAGGTGGTTATGAGCCACCATGTGGTTGCCTGGAATTGAGCTCAGAACCTCTGGAAGAGCAGACAGTTCCCTTAACCTCTGAGCCATCTCAGAGGTTAAGTCCCTGGCCCATGTTTTCTCAAGACAGTTTGTTGATTTGTTGTGACTGGGGTCTCTACATAGCCCGGGCTGGCCTGGAACTCATTCTATAGACCAGGATGGCTTCAGCTTCACAGAGGCCTACTGCCTCTGCCTCCCAATGCTTTTTTGTTTGTTTGTTTCTGGTTTTGTTTTTCCCAAGACAAGAGTTTCTGTGTGTAGTCTTGGCTGTCCTGGACTCTCTCTCTCTGCAGACTAGGCTGGTCTGGAACTCAGAGATCCGCCTGCCTCTGCCTCCCAGAGTGCTGGGATCACAGGCGTGTGCCACCTCGAAGGGCTCCAAGTGCATCTTGAGACAGTGCTGTTCTGTGGTCCAGGCTGGCCTTGAGCGCTGCTCAGTCCTCCTGCTCCGACGCATTGCCTCGCCCAGAGTGCGTGTGTGTGTGCCCGGCTGCTGACTGAATCCAGGCAGCCTGTTGGTTCCCGCTGCTGGGGTGGGGTCTGGGGCTTCCTGCACGCTTGCTCTTGCACTCTGCCCATCCCAGCCCCTCCATCCTAGAACCTCAAGGCCTGAAGCCCGTCTACTCGCCATGTAGCCTACGATGACCAAGGCCCGCCCGCCCTGGGGTTCCTGACCATTCTCCAGGTAGCCGGAACCACTTCTGGCCCAGGCTAGCCAAGCCATGCTCCTGAGGCCCCAGCGACCTCCAGAGATGGACAATGAGCTCACCTTTCTTCTTGGATTCCTGGGGGGGGGGGGGTAATCCCTGCGCCCTGCCTCCCCAGCTGCTGGGAGATGAATGGGTGACTTGACATGTGACCTCGGAACAATAAATGTGACTCCCCACGTTGTGTGCCTTTTTCCCCCCTGTTGGTCTCTGTGTAGTCTAGGCTAGCCTCAGACTGCTTCAGTCTCCTAAGGCATGAGCCTATCTGCCTAAGGCTGCCTTCATTTTGGGTTGAAGAACAGGGTAAGTCAGCGTACAGCAAATGTGGAGTACGGTAATTACTGCTGTCAGTTTGACCAGATCTAGAGTTGCCTCCGAGACAAGCCTGGCTGGAGTTCCCGGGATGGAACTGAGGGCAGGCTTGGTGGCTAGCACCTTCAGGCTCCTGCTGCAGGCCTTGCTGCCATAATGGACTGCACTTTTGAACTGTGTCAGGTGTGCTCTGTCCACATCTACAGAATCATCAGGGGAAGCAGCCGTGGCTAGATCCTGGCACCGAAGCCCATGGGTACCTAGGCCATTGTCAATGCTGAGTGGAGGACATTATCAGTGGATACCCTGGAGGGATGCTGTCCTTTCCCACCGTCCTCGCCCACAGTGGAGCACAAATCACCTGACACTTAAGATTCTGAACTTTTTATTTTCTGGCATGAAAAGTACAAATAATTAAACAATTCCATGTAAAAGTCAGTTACCGCGGCCAGGCCTGGAATCTTGGTAATAAATAGTCTAAATGCAACTTGAAGTGTTCTTGGGTTTGGGTTGAGGTTTTTCTTTGTTTTGTTTATTTCTACAGCTCTTTATATCACCTCCAACATGGGCTCTGTCGTGGTTTGAAACTTTCCCAATAAACAGGATAAAGGAAGGGTTGGAGGGGCTGAGCCCTCTTCCCACTGGCCCTGACCCTGACCCCCAGGGACTTTGGAAGACCCGAGGGCCCCTCTCCCTGGGAGCCCTTGGCCTGGCCCTCTTGGGGGACTGGCCTCCAGGGAGGGGGCCTGGCTGGGCTAAGCTTTGTGTCTTAGAAAAAAGTCCCCTCCTCCCAGTCTTGGGGGCTGCAGGGACCTAGGCCTTGGTAGGAGGGGGTGGGGGGAGGTACCCCCTTTTCAGAGCCCACCCTCCCCCTCAGGGTGGGGGACAGGCCCAGCCCTTATTGCTCGGATGCCTCCAGCATGTGCGGAGGGCAGGGGAGACCCCAGAAACAGCAGGGAAAGAAGGGGCTGGACCCTCCTGGAGGCGGGGAGTCCCTGTCCTGCTGGGAGGGAGGGGGGTAAGGAGACCAGAATAAATAGGTTCGGTGTATCGTGAGCAAGCTAAGAGTTCACCAGCTAAATAGACAGAAAAACTTCTCAAGACAATAGCAAAACAATCCCACTGAGAGCCCCTGGGCACCGCCAGCTGTGGGGACCCACCCCACCCCTCGGAGCCCACGGCGCCCCCTGGGGGCACTCCGCTACCATTACTGTTATTAATAATTATTACTTTAATGACTCCACTTCCCCTTTGTATAAATAAATTAGGCATAACCACATCTCAGCAAAAAACTGAAAGAAAAGGAACATTTTCCTTCAACTTGCAAACCGATGAAAGAACAGAAATATACACAAAGGTCCTTACAGGCCAACAAGGATAATAAATAGTTAACATAGCAATAAGTTAAAACTACATGAAGCTAAATTCAGCAAAAAAGTACAAGAAAGTTAACTGGTGACAGTTTATCTTTTTTTTTTTCCTTTTTTTTTTTTTTTAAATTGTTTTTGTGTGTGTGTGTTTTTTTTTCTTTTTCTTTCTTTTTTTTCTTTCCTGTTGCTATATTTCCTCTTCTGTTTGAGTTTTCTTTCTTTTTTTTTTTTCTTTTTGAATTTTTTGGTCTTTTTTTAATTTTTTTTTTCTTTTTGTTCCTTGCAGCAGAAACTCCACAGACGGTTAAGAACAACACCAGGAGGGGTGGGGAGAGAGAGTTGGACGCTCAGATGGGGCCGTGGCCAGACACCAAACGCAGAGGACACCGGAGGAAAGAACCAGAGTGTAGAGTGGGGGTGGGGCTTCACGATTCTTGGTTGTGACTGGGCCCACTGAGGGGTGGGTTGCAGGTTTGGGGCTCCTGGGGGCTCCAGCCTGTGGCTTCGGTTGGAACTTGCATAAAAGAATGAAGGGTCAGGGCGTGGGGATATGGACACCAAGTCCAGTGAGAAGCCAGGGCCAGGGCTCGCAAAGGCTGCATCCATGCTTCCCCCACATCCAGAAGAGACGAAAAAACCCAACAATCAAAAGAGGGTGACAAGTGGAGGGATGTGGGGGGACACCTTGGGCCCATCCACCCCTGGGTCTGGTGGGGCGTGCTGGGTGCTTGCTGTGGTGGGGAGCACGCTGGCCCTGGCTGAGGGAGGAGACTGCAGACCTCCCTGTGGACCCAGGGAGGCTGAGCCCCAGGGACAGGGGATCCTTTGGCCTCAGGTTGTGGGGAGTGAAAGCCCCCTCCAGCCCATGGTGATGCCAAAGTAGAACGAGGTATCGTGTGTTTGGATGCATGGACCATGTATGTACGCCTGTGTGGTGGGCAGCAGGAGGCCCCTGGCGGGCTAAGGAGTCTGTGCAGAGAACGGGGGGGCTGGGGGGCTGGGGCTTGTCGGGGTCCCAGGGAGGAGTGGCTGGGCCAGCCTGGCTAGAGGAAGTGCCTGGGCCAGGGTCTTCAGGAGGAACGCCTTGTCTGGGCCTGTAGGATGCTGTGGACGTGGCTGTGTCCCTGGGTGGAGTATGTTTCTAGGTGACCTATTTGGTTTTAGTTTTGTGTTTTGAGACAGGGTCTTATGTAGCTCAGGCTGACCTCAAACTCATTATGTAGCCAAGGCTAGCCTTGATCTGATCTGCCTCTACCTCTTGAATGCCAGGATGAATGAGGTCTGTGACCACCGTACCGGGTGTACTCAGCAGGTGGGGGGGGGGGGATGAAGCCCATGCTCTGCACGAGCTTTCTGCCCACCGCGCCCCACCCCAGCCAGGCCCAGAACCTTCCATCCACAGGCATCTGCCACAGTGGATCTCACACATCACATGATCTGGCGGACAGTCAGCCAACGTCTGCATGTGTGTTTGTTCAGCCCCGAGGCTCAGCCCCGTGTCTCCAGCCTCTGGTGGATTCCATCAGCCTTCCTGGCTGCATCCTGAAGTGTTTCTGTATGTGTTGTGTATCTGCGGCCCAAAGTACAAGTGTGTGTCCTGCCTGCTGTCTTCCTGTGGCTGTGTGTGTGTGTGTGTGTGTGTGTGTGTGTGTGTGTGCATGCGTGCTGCCGGCCCTACGGCCCTCTCAGCCCTCAAGCCCTGCTACCTGCACCCCTGCCCCAGTTAGTTGGTAAACATAACTTGCCAAAATAGTTTCTTTTTTTTTTTTTTTTTGTCTTTTTTTGTGATTTTTTTTTCAAGTTCAAGAATCCCCAGTAAAAATTCTCCACGAGGTCTTTTTCCCTTTTTACAAAAATAGAGTTTTTCTTCCCCTCCCCCCCCCCCCCCCCCTTTTTTTTTTTTTTTTTTTTTCTTCCCCTCCCCCCCCACCCCCCCTTTTTTTTTTTTTTCCTGCTTCCTGCCCTTCCCCAACCCTGCTCCCTGTATTCTGCCCAGAGACTGGGACAGGGGATGGGGAGGCCCACACCCCTCTTTCATGTTTTTTGCTGTTTTGGGGATTTTTAAACCTGTTCCCTCCCCTTTCTCGGTACAGGACAGGCCTGGGCAAGGGAGGCCTGGGCGGGGCACCGTCCTGTCCCCTAAGCCATCCCGTGCAGGGTGGTGAGGGTGAGGTGGGATGGGGGGTCTCCTCTCTGCTTTCTTCTTTTTGTTTTTAGCCGAAAAAAAGAAAGAAAAAGCCATCACCATGAACCAAACCAAGACGAGAGAGTGAACAAGCCCCAGCCTGGGGTGGGGAAAGTGTGGGGGAGACAGACCCTCCCCATCCCGATGCTCACCCTGCGGTGGTCGTTTGCAGGTGTGTGGGTCTGCCTGCTCTGTGATCTCTCTCTCTCTCTCTCTCTCTCTCTCTCTTTCTCTCTCTCTCTCTCTCTCTCTGCTGCCCGGGGAGGGAGGGCGGTAAATGCTCAGGCCTTGTGCTGCTTGCTGGTCTTGAAGGACACCTGCAGCACGCGCTCACCCAGGCGGTAGCCATTCAGGCTGGCGATGGCCATGGCCGCCTCATCGTAGTTGGTCATGGTGACGAAGCCGAAGCCCTTGCACTTGTTGGTGGTGAAATCTCGGATGACCTTGACGTTGGTGACTGCTCCAAAGGGTCCGAAAAGCTGCCACAGCACACTCTCATCGGCTTCTGGGGACAGGTTGTACACGAAGATGCACCAGCCAGTTCCCGCGGCGCCTCCAGACAAGCCCACACCTGCCAGGCCACTCATGCCATCGATGGCGATCGGGGAGAACCTGGCGATGAGCGACAGGGGACTACTTTGGGGGTCACGTGGGCTCTGCCCTGATCCCCAGCATGCCTCCGACCCCCCCACTGGGAGAACCCCAAACTGGTTGTGCTATGTATCTAAGACCCCTGTAGTGTCCTAACTGGTTCTGACCCCATTACCTGTCTTTCATCCCACTGAGACACCAGCCCCTGACCTGCAAACTTGCTTGACCTCCAAGGCTCTCAAATATCAGCCATGACCCTAAGTGCCATTTTTATCCTGATCTTTGGCCCTAACCGGGTCCTGAGACCTTGTCTGGGGGCACCTTTTCACTCAGCTTCTTTTTGTGTGTGGCCCAGTTGGCTTTGAACTCACCGCGTAGCCGTGGATGGCTTCTTGTTTGGGGTTTTCTTCCTCCCTGCCTGCTGATCTGGGACTGGCTTCTCCTGCCACTACCTCCCGGAAGCTGGCATTGCACCTGGCTTATGCAGTGCTGGGATGAAGCCCAAGGCATTGTGCATGCCAGCCAATCTTTTTCAATTGAGCTACATCCCCAGTGTCCACCCTTTCAAAACTGTGTGTGTGTACGCGTGAGAGAGAGAAAGAGAGAGAGAGAGAGACAAGAGGACAAGACTGAATCTGTATGCCATGCTGGCCTCAAACTCTTGCCTCAGCCTCCACAGTGTGGTGCTGGGGAAGGAGCCTAGCACACACTAAGCCCTGCCCTAACAGCTCCGACTCCATCTTGATCCTTCCATATGACTGGACACTGGCCCTACGAGAGCAGAGCAGTGTCCTGTGTAAGCCCGGTCAACCCAGCACTTTTCTTTGGCCCTATAAAGTGGCCTCCTCGTCTGCCTTTCTGGTCGTTTCTATCCAAATCATAAAGGGCAGCCCCTCTCGACTCAAAGATTTCCTTTCTCTAGTTTCAGTTACCTGTGGCTGCCTTTGATTTGAACACATTAAATGGAAATTTCCAGAAATAAATACTTCTCAGATTGCTTTTGTTTGCTTGTTTGTTTTCGGCTTTTTAAAAAAAAAAATTTTTTTTTTTTTTTTTGCATCCTGAGTGAGGTATCCCAGAAGTAGAAGAACACACATGGTGTATACTCATAAGTGGATATTAGACATATAATATAGGATAATTATACTAAAATCTGTACACCTAAGGAAGCTAAGCAAGAAAGAGGACCCTGGGTAGGATGCTCAATCCTCATTCAGAAAGGCAAAGGGGATAGACATCAGAAGAGGAAGAAAACAAGGAAGAGGAAGGAGCCTACCATAGAGGGCCTCTGAAAGACTCTACCCTGCAGAAGCTGAGACTTATAACCAAACTTTGGGCAGAGTGCAGGGAATCTTATAAAAAAAGAGAAAGATTGAAAGATCTGGAGGGGACAGGAGGACCACAACAGAGAGAGAGAAAGAAAAAAAAAAGTAGCCTGTGGCAGCTCAGTATCCAAGTGGGCTCCCTAATAATGGGAACAGGGTCTGTTTCTGACATGAACTCAGTGGCCGGCTCTTTGATCACTTCCCCCTGAGGAGGGAGCAGCCTTGCCAGGCCACAGAGGAAGACAATGCAGCCACTCCTGATGAGACCTGATAGGCTAGGGTCAGAGGGAAAGAGAGGAGGACCTCCCCTATCAGTGGACTGGGGGAGGGGCATGGGAGGAGATGAGGGAGGGAAGAGAAAAGGAAGGGAGGGAGTGTAAGATTGGGGACTAGGGACAGGGTTACAGCTTGGATACAAAGTGAATAAGCTAATTAATAAAACAATAAACTAAAAAAATTTTTTGGATTTGTTTTTTTATTTTGGTTTTTCCAGACAAGGCCCTTCTGTGTGGCCCTGGCTATCCTGGAACTCACTATGTAGATCAGGCTGGTCTTGAAGTTAGAGATCCTCTCTAGAACCGGGATTAAAGGCATATGGGACGCCCAGTTTGGATTTATATTGTTTTCATGTGTGCTTGCCTACCTGCATGTATGTGAAACACACACATACTTGGTGCCAACACACGCTGGAAGAAGGTGTCAGACATTGATGGTTCTTAGTCACCATGTGGGTTTGGGGACTTGAACCTGGGTCCTCAGCAGGAGCTACAAGTGCTAACCTCTGAGCCATCTCTCCAGCCCACGTTTTTGCTTTATTTATGAAACTAGGTCTCACTGCATAGCCCAGGCATAATGAAGATCAGAAGGCATAGCCATCAGGAATCTTCAGTATAATTTTACTGTTTTATTAGTGTGTGTATGTGGTGGGAAAGGCGTGCACATACCATGACGTGTGTGGAGGTCAGAGGACAAATCTGTAGAGTTGGTTTTCTCCTTCCACCTTTATCCTGGGTCCTGGGGATTGAACTCAGGTGGTTGGCCGAGCTTGTGTGGCCAGCCTCTTTACCCACTGAGCCATCCTGCCTGTCCACAGTTATAAGTTTGAAATTACATACAGAATGTGGCGATGTGGCTCAGGACTGTATTCCCAACTCTTGGAAGGCAAAAGCCTTGTCTCAAAACACTGTTGAGCCTTGGATCTGCCCCAGGCTTAACACTCTTCCATTCTCAGGAGCACCTTTCTTGTTCAGTCAGTCTCTCTGTCTCAGTCTGTCTGTCTGTCTGTCTCCGCCCTCCAGCACTGGCTTTACAGACAGCTCTACCACCCAGGGCTTTACATGGAGACTGAGCTCAGATCCTCAGACTTGTGACACATTGAGCCCTCTCCCCGGCTCCAAACTGCTCCCATCCCTGCCCCTACCTCACAAAAAGCCGAGCGTGATGGATGGCTCACAAGTGTCATTCTAGCACTTGGGAGGTGAACACAGGAGGGTAAGGCACTTCATCATCTTCATCCCTACCTCAAGTTTAAAGCCAGCCTGAGATATATGAAACCCCATCTGAAACCTCAAAGCATCCCCCCCCCAAAAAAAAAAAAAAAGCCTTGAAAGGTAGCAGGGCAGCACATGCCTTTCTTTCAGCATTTAAGAGGCAGAGATGGGGGCCAGGGAGCATTTCTGTGACTTCAAGGCCAGTCATAGCTACATAGTAAGACTGTCTAGAAGAGAAGGGGGAGGAGGTGAAGAAAAAGGAAAAAATAAGAAAATGATAATTGAGGAGAATAAAAGAAAAGACTGTATACTGTTTTGAGGAGCACAATGAAATGTCACATTGCTTAGCCAGTGTATCCATACAGTATTGCTACTTTCCCATCAGTCACTAAGCTATTTCCAGAGGCTAGGAGAAATTAGTAAGATGTTTCCTTTAAAGGAAAAGGTGAGAGCTCTCCACTTATTGAAAAGAGAAGATCATACGCTGAGGTCAGTCACTGATAACATAAGGACAGAACGAAAAGAGAAGATCAGCCACTGATAACATAAGGACAGAATGAATCCATTTGTGAAATCATGACGGAAATGGTCTGCTGGTACTGGGTTGTCATTCCAAGAGGCTGAGGCAGGAGAATCACAAGGCCAAATTAAAAGTGAAAAGATAAACTGAACATACCTTCAACCCCACATTCATGAGGGAGAGGCAGAAGGGGCAGGAGTTCAAGGGCATGGTCAGCTCAGAGCTCTGACCTGCCTGCACTACATGAGACCCTGTGTCAAGAAAAGCCAGAGAAGCCAGGCATGACAGCACACGCCTCTAATTGCAGCACTTGGGAGGCAGAGGCAGACAGATCTTTGTGAGTTCAAGGCCAGCCTGGTCTACAAAGTGAGTTCCAAAACAGCCAAGGCTGCACAGAAAAACCCTGTCTCAAACAAACAAACAAACAAACAAACAAACAAACAAACAACTATAAAAAGGGCTGGGTGTGTAACTCTTAATGATTATTCACAAGGCTTTGAGTTTCCTCTCCAGTACAAAATAATAATGATAATAGAAATTTAAGTAAATAAGATATATACCGGTTTCCATGTCAATCTCTGTCAGGGGTCCACAGGGAGTCTTGGGGTGTGTCCCTGATGGGTAAGGAGGACATCTGTTCATGTCACCACTATATTCCTGACATTGTTCTCTGGGATGGCTCCCTTCTCAGGTAACACTTTGTATGTTGTGATTGACTAAATAAGTTAAAGGATAGAAGGCTACATTCTCACGGACTCCCTCACCCTCAGGATTAAGTCACGCAACTTGAGGAGAAGACTCTGAAAGTCCGAACCCCAGAACCTTGACCGAGTGGGACTCAGCCCACGCCCTCCACTGAGCCCTCGCCCCAGCTGGTTCTGCTGCCAGGTCACCCCCAGGACCCTGCACTGGGTCAGGCCTCTTCTGGGTTTCCCCATCCCCCCTTTTGCTGGCTCCACTCACCCACACATCTCCCTCCCATGGGGCTAAGACCAAAACATCAAGCACAGTATTCATGTGCAGCCCCCTTTCAGTATGTGCCAAGCGCTGTGCTCTCTCCAACTCATACTCAAGAGGGATCAAGTCTGCCTGGACCGGGCTACACCCTTGGCCTCAGGCCCAGCTTTCGATATTCAACATGTTCTCAACAGCTGGTGACAAAATCAACATGGACATTTTCACAAGAGCCGGGATGTGGATGGAACTAGGAAAATCTCAGGGTTCAGAGAAACTGCAGGGAGGAAGGAGAACCTTCCATGATCTTTGACAAAACCAACAACGGCAGCTGATGGGTGGGGCTGGAGGAATGGACTCCCCCGGTGAGGGGCTGGGGGCGTGGCTCAGTGCAGGCCTGGCATGCAGAAGTCCCAGGGTCCCATTCCTAGCACGCAAAATAACAGTTGTCAGTGGCTCTCAGAGGGTTAATGGGGGAGCTGGTGGGCACAACTGCATCCTATTTCTGTTGAGGGGCTGGAGAGATGGCTCAGTGGTTAAGAGCAATGGCTATTCTCCCAAAGGACCTGGGTTCAATTCCCACCACCCACATGGCAGCTCACAACTGTCTGTAACTCCAGTTCCAGGACTTCTGACACATCACACAGACATACACGCAGGCAAAACACCACTCAAATGAAATAAAAATAAACAAGTTTAAAAAAAAAAAAAAAAACAGCTGGGCATGGTGGTGTACGCCTTTCATGAGGCAGAGGGGGGCAGATTGCTGTGAGTTCAAGGCCAGCCTGGTCTACAAAGCCAAGGACAGCCAAGGCTGCACAGAGAAACTGTGTCTCGAAAACCAAACAAACAAGCCACAGGCAGCCTGCCGTGCTCCTCCTCTGTGCCACTCTCTCTAGACATTGGCTCTGCCCATTGTCTTGAGGGTTATCATCTGGACACAGGCAGGGATGGTTACCCAGCGGTCCCTGGGACAAGGCGCATGCAGGGGTTAGAGGAGGGTGGTTGAGGTAAGGGGGCTCTGGGGTTGGAGACAGTGGGGCAGGGGCACTGTTACCTCTTGACTCCGTAGGCCATGTTGAGCAAATTGTCCAGCCTGTGGAGTTAGAAGCAGCTGTCAGAGTGGCCTGTGACCCTTTTCCTGTGGTGTGACAGCCAGTCCTCCCCACCCCCACAGCCTTCAGCAGGGCCCTGCCCCCCACTGCTCGCTCCCAGCCCGGCTGGACACTGCCTGGCACGGAACCTCACTCATTCGGGACTGCTTCTTACCAGCCGGGCTGCTGTTCAGCCTTCCCGGCGGCCTTCTCCTGCTCTCCAGGCTATCCCCTCGGGTCATGCCTGGAGGACCCAAGGGCTGAACTCTCTGGCTTAAGAGGTGGGCTTACAAAGGTGGTGGCACAGTCTTTCCTGAGCCCACCTCCAGGCCTACCAGGAGCCCCCACTGATCTCCCATTTGGGAGTGGCCAAGAGTGACCAGTCTTGACCTGGGTTCAAGTCTGCTTTTGGGCTTGTCCATTCTCAGTCTGGAGTGAAGAAATCTCAGTAAGATGGCACGAGACGAGCTGTTCTACCCAGTTACCATGAAGAGAATACGATCATAGCCAGGACACAATAAGCAGGAGGAAATGTTTGGTGGTGGTGTCATCCCTGAGGAAACTGAGGCACAGCTTGGACCCATGTATGGTGGTGGGGAGGCAGAGATGGACACAGAAAAAGAGAGACAAAAGAAGAGAGAGAACCACACAGGCAGAGAGAGACAGACATAGAGATAAAGAAACAGACACAGTAGGACTAACGAGAGAAGCAGAAAAGAAGGAGAGACAGACAGACACAGAGACGCTTAAAAACGACAGACTGACACAGAGAAAGATAGGTGAGAAATGACAGGACAGAGAGAGAGAAAGAGAGAAAAATAGGAGAAACGGGCTGTCCAGGTGATTTTCCTGTTCATTGTTGCTTTGTTTATTTTAATTTTTTGTCAGTTTGACACGACCTGTGTAGGAAAAGACCCTCAATCAAGAAAATGCCTCCATCAGATTGGCCTGTGGACATTTTCTTGGTTGATGTGGGAGGTCTCAGCCCGCTGTGGATGGTGCTATCAGCTGGGCCACAGCTGTGCAAGTGGACAGGCTGAGTAAAGCATGGACAGACAGCAAGCCAGTAAGCAGTGTTCCTCCATGGTCTCTGCTTCAGTTCCTGCCTCCATGTTTCTGCCTTGATCTCCCCTCAGGGCAGACTGTTCACTGTAAGCCGAAATCAACCCTTTTCTCCTCACATTGCTTTTAGATGTGGTACTTTATCACAGTAATAGAAATCATGACCAAGACACAGAGGGAGACAGAGACAGAGAGACAGAGAGACAGAGTCACAGTTAGACCTCAATTAGCTGCCAGCTGTGGCGGCTATCATACACTGAGCTCTTGATCTATGCGCACACGCCCTTTCCCGTTCCTGACGGTGGGGTGTCCCTGGGTCCCCACCCTCGGCAGGAAACAGGCTCAGGGAGAGCAGCTGCAGGCTGGGGCCACTGGCTCACCGGAAGCGCTGTGTCTGATGATGCAGCGGACCCGCGTAGCGCCTGGCGGAGGACTGGTACAGGTGGGTGAGCAGGGCCTGCCCCGTCTTCTGGCTCGGGTTGTTTGCGAACTTGACCGTGATGGGCTCGGCCGCACCCAGTGGTTTCTGCCCATTCAGTCCCTTGATGGCCTCCTCTGCCTCGATCCTCTTGTCAAAGCGGATGAATCCCACACCCCGAGAGACACCTGCCGGGGGAGTGAGAGCACTGGTCTCAGGCACTCTGCACCTTCTCGTGTGACTCCCCCTGCCCAGCACACCCTCTCTTCCTGGCATGCTGACCTGTGGCCTGGTCCAGCAGGATTCTGGACGTGATGATCCGACCATACTGGGAGAAGAGTTGCTCCATCTCTTTCTGGCTCATGGTCTTGGGGAGGCCACTGACATACAGGTTGGCATCCCGGATAGAGGCAGAACTGGGGCGTGCATAGGACACCTGGGCGGGGGATCAGAGGACAGTGAGGGTGCGGAGGAACTGACAAGGCTCAGAAATGCCCCTACCTCACTCATTCACTTACAGAGTGACGTTCGCCTGCCATCCCAGGACCAGGCGGGTGGAGCAGGAGGGGCAGAGGTTAAAAGTCACCCCCTACTACGTGTTAAGTTCCAGTCCGGCCTGGGCCACGTGTTCCCTTTCCCAAAGAACAAAGCAGGAGCTTGAGGAGATGGCTCCGTGGGTAAACTGCCTGGCTTTGATACCCAGGACCAGTGGTGGAGGAGAAAACTGGCTCCCAAAGGCCACCCTCGGACTCCACGCCCAAGCCGAGGCAGCTGTGAGCCCACCCACATGTGCACATAATAATTAATAATAATAAATTTGTATCTAAAAAAATAAGCTCAATATTCCTGCATACACCTGTCACCCCAGCACCGAAGGAAAAGTTTGGGAGGAGCAAGGAGTAATGGCGCACATCATCGATCCTGGAACCAGGCAGGCAGAGGCAAGCGGACCTCTGTGAGTTTGAGGCCAGCCTTGTCTACATGGTGAGTTCCAGGACAGCCAGGGGTGTAGTTGAGAACTTCTCTCTCTCTCTCTTTTGTTTTTTGAGACAGGGTTTCTCTGTGTAGCCTTGGCTGGCCTGGACTCACTTTGTAGAACAGGCTGGCCTCGAACTCACAGCGATCCTACTGCCTCTGCCTCCCCAAGTGCTGGGGAAAGAGACCTGAGCCCACAAAGTTGCTTGTGAAGGCTGTAAATACAAGGTTGTGCCTGCGGAGGGAGTCTCCCAGGAGAGCTTGGGTGACCCAGCGGGCTCCTGACTGCCCCCACCCTGTGCTGCCACAAGAATTAGCTGCTGCCCTCCGGGGGCTGGCTCCCAGCCCGGGGTGTCCCGCTACCTCGCAGTGATCCCCCCTGACCCCCAAGATTCCTGAAGGCCCTACTTGCTCTTCAGTATCTGTCCGCACCCCCAGGAAACTGTTAACTGATTTCTTTATCATCTTTGCGAACTGGAGCTGCTGAAACAAAAATGATCTGATTTGCATGAATATTTTACAACTCTACAGTTGTGTTAAAAATAATAACTACCATAAAAACTCAGGGCCCACCAGAGGGCTCAGCCGCAGGGTGTTGCTGCCAAATCTGACCACCTGAGTCCAGTCCCCGGGTCACACACGAGAGAGTGAATCACTCCTGCAAGCTGTCCTCCCAACTCCACATCGTCATACCCAGGAGCCCACACTCTGCTCCCTCTGTGTGTCATATACACATAATCATATAAAACAAAGTTTAAACTGACTTTTGTGTATCATACACACAGACGCATACAAAATAAAATTTAAAATGTAACTAAAGCAAAAGAAAAACGGGGGTCAGGTGTAGTGGCCCACGCCTTTAATCCCAGCACTCTGGAAGCAGAGGCAGGGGGATCTCTGTGAGTTTGAAGTCAGCCTGGTCTATGAAACGAGTCCAGGACAGCCAGGGCGCCACAGAAAAACTTTGTCTGGAACACCTGCCCTCGGTAAAAAGAGAGAGAGAGAGAGAAGAAAAACAGGGTGAATGGTAATTGAATATTTCAGACAAAAAATAAAAATGGACAAACTGCTGACCTCTGACTTCTGTCTCCCATTCTACACTGTCTCCTACTTCTGATAGGCTGAGCTACCTGCCTCCGTGCTCAACCTCCATTCTACACAGCAGCCAAAGGGCCAGTGAACACTAGAGCCAGTTTCTTCCCCACACAATTCTCCAAGGCTCCTACCTTTCTCTGCCTTAAAGCTAAAAAGCTAAAGTCCTTTTTTTTTTAAGGAAATAAAAAAAATAAAATAAAATAAAAAGTATGTCACTGACTGTGGTGGCCCAGACATTCACTCCCAGCACTGGAGAGGCAGAGCTGCCAGATCTCTGTGAGTTTGAGGGCTGGGACAACAGGACTACTACAGGAAGACCCTGTCCAATTTTTTTTTTTAACTTTCTGTTTTGTTTTCTTTGTTTTTGAGATAGAATCTCACTATGTAGCCTTGGGTGTCCTGGAACTCTCTCTACACCAGGCTGGCCTCAAACTCACAGAGATCCGCCTGCCTCTGCCTCCCTGGTGCTGGGGTTAAAGGTGTGTGCCGCCACACTTGGCTCCAAGATTTTACCTTTTCTAAAATGGTTTGTTTTGCTTTGCGTGTGTGAGTGCTCTGCCTGCAGGTTATGGATGGGCACTGCGTCCCGCACTCCCCGAAGCCAGACAGGAGCGCTATTTCCTGTCTGGAACTCGAGTCACGGACAGCTCTGTGAGGGCTAGGGACTGCAGCCCCAACCTCTAGATTCCGTGCCCACAAGACCTTGCACACAATCAGGTCACCTCTCTGCTTGTAGCTCCCCTCCATTACTTCCTTTCTTTTACCCTAAATGCGCCAGGCTTGTCCAGCCTCAGGACCTTTGCACTTGCTGCTTTTGTTGCTCAAAACCCTCTTTGGTGACCCATGTCTGTGACACCAACGCTCTGGAGGATTAGATGGAGTGATTGCCTAGACCCCCAGGCTGGCAGAGTCACAGGATGAGACTGAGGCTGTCTCAACCCCACCCCGTAGAAATGTCCTTTCTGCCAGTCCATGGTTTGAAATGTCCTTTCTACCCTCTCTGATTCTCAGCTTTTTATTGTTTTGACATTCACTTATTGTGTGTGTGTGTGTGTGTGTGTGTGTGTGTGTGTGTGTGTGTGTGTATGCTATCCAAAGTCTGTGTGGTGAGGTCACAGGATGACGGGTGGGCACCAGTTCTGCTTTGTACCATGGGGACCCCTGTGATCAAATGGCAGCAAGCTCCATTCAGCCCACTGGACCCTCTCCCTGGCCCTGCTATGACCCTCCCTCAAGGTGCTTCTCTCTGGTTGGTGAGCTCTACACGTTGTGGTATGGTCATTCCGTTTGCGTCTTTACTAAGGACGCAGCTGCTCAGGACTCGGCCGACTCAGACATTCACAGAGCGAGAAACTGGGGAGTGTTGTGAGGTGGGGAAAGGAAAGTCTGTTGAGAGTGTTAGGGAACCCTGGCCCTAACATTGTGTCTTCCCCAATGTCCTGGACACTGGATGCACAGGCCCCGCCTACAAATGTCAATGGGGTGACGGTCTCCGGGTGGGAGCCACCCTCCCCCTCCTTTCTGCTGAGGTCTGCTTTCTGTTGCTTCTATTCAAACCTCTAAACCTGGGGTAGAGAGGAACCATTGTTACTGGCATTTGTTTAGGGAGGGGCGTTGTAGGGCTGCATTGCTTCATCACAAACAGCTAAAGAGGGGGCTGCTGAGACGATGGTTCAGTGGGCAAAGGTCCTTGCCACCAGCCTGCCGGCCTGAATTTGATCTTGCAGACTCTCAGGTAGGAGGGGCCCCTCTGGCCTCCACACACAGACACAAAGTGAGTAAGTGTAATGAGAAGATTTAAAAAAGGACTAATTACGCCTGGGGCTGTCACTTAGCTAGCAAGAGGGAAGCCATCTCCATCTTCTCCCCTAGGTGAGCCGGGTGTGGTGGCGCTTGTGCTTGCCCATCACCCCAGCACCCTGCAGGCAGAGGCAGGCACATCTCCATGTGAGTTAGAGACCTGTCTGGTCTACACAGCATGCTCCAGGTTACCAGGGGCTACACAGTGAGAGCCTGTCTCAGAAAACAAACAAACAAACAAACAAACAACAACAACAAAAAAAAACTTTTCACCAAATAAATAAATAAAAACTTAAAAATTGCAGCCAAGTGTTTGGGGCTTTCTTTCTCTACCATGGGACTGTAAGGACAGGATGCTGAGGACAGGAGGCAACTTTCAGAGGGCTTCCCCAAGATTGTCTTGGTAACCCATCATTTGTTATGGGATGGTGGCTCAGGATATCAGCTTGTCCTCCTGCCCATTCTCTGGAAAAGGTTTTGACTGTGAGAGCTTTGATTGTCCTTTTTGAGGTCTGGAGCATGCTGTATAGACCACACTGGCCTCCAGCTCAGAGAGATCCATCCACCTGCTTCTCTCTCCAGAGTGCTGGGATCAGAGGTGTGCGCCATCACACCCGGCTTGGAATGGTGAGCTTTGGACTAAGTAGTCCTGAAGAGCTTGGAAGTCACAGCAACACTCCTGTGTCAGCCTTGATTGATAAAATTACAGGCATGTACCCTCCAGACAGGCACCTTAGGTCTCAGGTCACCTAAGGCACAGGGTAGATCTCTCTGTGTGGAGATAGGTGGGCATGATCCTACGGCATGTGTGTGAGAGAGGTCAGCCGTAAGTGTCCGCCTTCACTTTCCCCAACCATGGTCTCTTGTTTGCTGCTCTGGACACCAGCACACCTGGCCTGTGAGTGTCCAGAGGTTCTCCTGTCTCCACACCCTCTCTCCCTGCAGGAAATTACAGATGCCCACAACCCTAGCTGTCTTTACACATGTTCTGGGGATTGGAACTTAGGTCTTCAAGCTTTTGCAGCAAGCCTTTCCACAGGAAGGTAAATAACTCAAAATAGCTTCAGGAAGTTCCTGGAACTGAGCAGATTTACTAGAGTTAGCTACCAGAGTAAGCCGTAAAAACCCCAGAGTCCCTATGACACTAGCAGAACTCGCAGCAAAGAAGACTCTCAGCCAAGCCAAGCTTCAGAGATGACTCTGAGGCCCGACCAGCTGCCTGCAAAAGGTTTAGACCAACTGAGGCACCTGGAAAGGACACCGTCCAACCTGCTGAGCTGCCTGCAGGCTGCGCAGCGTGCTCCAGGTACCCAGCTTTGTGAGCTGTCCCCCGAGTCCTGTAACCCCTCACCCACATTCCTGTAAGTATTCCCAATACAACTCATTGTCTCTGATTAGGTCTGAGCAGAGTAAGTGAGGCTCAGTGGGTTCCTGAGGCGCGGGGAACGTAGGGGGGCTCTGGGGAAGAGCTCTAGGATATGGAAACATAACGTCCCAGAGAGAATGACTGAGGTTACAGGAGCTGAGTGAGTTAGCGCCTCCCACCCATGCTCTGTGCCCACCCTT